AAATCTTTTCCCTTATATTTTCTTAAATATTTTGTTTTTTTTACTAAAGATGTGAAGAATATTTTGAAGCCCAAAATATATATAGATATGTATTCTGGTTTGCAAGTTTTTACAGTTAATGTAAGAGTGCATATATATGCAGCAGTATATTATTGTCTAACAACAGAAGTGACTGGATTCAGATGTTTACATTATGGTTTTCAGTGGTAAGCCTCTGAGGAAGCATGTTATTAAATATAATTTTATTTGTCAAATACAGTATTATCACGTTAGTAGGGTAATTTTCTTGACAAAATTTCATACAGAAATCTGTTGGTTTTTGTTCTTGTATTTAGTTTTGTTAATATTTTATTATTATTTTTATTATTTTTTCCTAAGACTGAATTTACTTGTAACTTGAGATCTGAATGCATATTTCCATCTTCCTCTTGTAGTTTGCCAGACTGTTGTCACTTAAGTAATATTTGCATTTATTAGTGCTTTGATACCAGAGTGATGTGCAACATAGACTGAACAAAATGTTTAAACGGAGAAAGAGAGCCTAAGATCACAGCTACTCTGCAGAACTGCAGTGCCTCAACCCAAACTTACAGCTGTTGAAGGATCCTGTTGTGAGGGAGTAGATTGAGGCTGTTGAAGGTGATTTCAAAACTGGCAAGATTCCTCCCTTAACATGTGCAGGTCTAACCGTAAAGAGGCCTGTCCCTGCTAGCTACTCCTGTGATGATGATGATGATGGTGGAAGAGGCACTTACAGAGGCTAGTGACAGGAAAGCACTTGAGCTGACACTGAAAACGTCAGGAATTCTCCTGTTCAATGCCTACTTCTCACCTGACTACCCAGACCAATGCAGCTGAGGTAAGGGATTCGTGCACCTTACCCCACAGCTGCCTGGCGGGGAGGCTGAGGCAGGGCCTGGCATTCAGGTCTGTTGGCACCGCTCTTCTCCAGTCTGTACAGGAAACTGGTCAAAGCAGGAAGCACTTTGAGGAACCTGCCTCCTTCCAAACATTTACCTTAGCTAAGAATGTGCGTTGGCATGGCCATATCCACATGTAATAGCAAGAATGCTAAAAGGGCTATCCCAATTTTGGAGGTGACATGCAGCTCCTGCCCCACAATATGTCTGTATCTATCTACAGACATGTGGGGAAGTTTGGATTCTTCTTCACTCTGATAAATTTACTGTGATTCCTGTGCATTCTTGACACCTGGGTTTCATTAGTATCATTCATTATAACTGAAAGAGTTTCAGCTGATCTGTTTCGTGGTGCCTTTTTGACTCAGCAGCACAATTTGCTGAGAAAACATTACTCCCATGGTCCACTTCCATTCATTATTCTGCACTGACTATGGTGGGACCTAGTGAGAGCCAGAAAAAGAAGGTGATCTGTGTAGCTACACAGCTAGCCTGCCTGCCAAAGAGAGGGGGAAAGCAGCAACGGGTCACGTTTCAAAGATGGCAAGCAAGAATTGCAAGGGGGAGAGGCTGGACTGCTGCATTCTTAATGAGAAGAAGCTCTTCTGTTACTTTGATGGGGTGCATGGAAAGAAATAACACACTTGGAAATAGTAGAACTCAGAAAGCCATATTTAATGCTAGTCAAGAGAGAAGCAAGGAACTGTGACAGAAGTCTTATAAAGTCTCATAAATTTGCACTTGTAAAATTCAGAAACTGTCAACAATAGTTGGATTAAGATTTAAATTCACGGGTTAGATGTATGAGTGCTGTGATTCCTACACAAGTAAAAGCCTCTGAAGCTGGATGAATCTTGGGGGTTACAGTACAAGCTTTGCGATTGATGTCTAGTCCACTGACTACCACATATTTCCAATATTCCCATATAAGAAAATATCCAAAGTCTGAACTTTAATGTACCACGGGAAGAAGTCCAGAGTTTGCTAATGTCTTGGGGGCCCTCAAGTAGATTCTTAAAAAAAGTTCATTCTTAAAGAAAGACATCTTGAGAAAGCAGCCTAGGTCACACTCTGGAGCTGAGTAAGAGAAACAACCACAAGTGAGGAAAATCTGCCTGGCTCATCACTAGTTTTAGCATTGCTCAGGTGAGCAAGACATGTGTGAGGCATACTCAAGGCACACTTCAGTGCACACACCGGCGTACATCATCCAAAAATCTGCCTTCCAATGCTTAAGGAAAAAAAAAAAAGTGAAAATTCAAACAAGAAAATAGATGTTATGCTATACTTTGAGTGAAGGAAAAAGTCCTGCCTGGCCTCCATGAGTGAACAGTGGGAACCCAAGAGCATGAGTTTAATGCAAGGGAAACAAAATGCCGATCAGGCAATTTTTTTTCCCCAAACCTCCTGGATACTACCAGCTCAGCAAATATTGAGAAATTCATAAAACAAGCTTAATTTTTCTACTTAGGAGCACTTAACATTTCTTTTTTTTTTTTGGTGGGGGGGGTTATGTTCTCTTCCATCAGCATCTGAGTATCTATCTAAAAGAGTGTTGGTTCTTTGAAGCAGTTTGGAAGCTCACTTCCAAACTGCTCTATTCGGACAGTAGGGTTCTGTTAAACCTCAATGAACCTGAGATGAGGATTATTCATGCCTCAGTTTACAGATCTGTAATATCAGGTGCTGATATTATCTTTCTCTTTGATATTTACGTTCCATGTGGGAAAGAATTATCATATTCCTCAGTCTCTGTATTGCTAAGCAAAACAAGTGAAACTTCGAGTTCATCTTTGTGGGACAGACACTGCAATGCCCTAAACATGCAAACCAGCTTTCGCTGCAGCAGTCTAGTTTAAGCCCTTTTTTTTTTAACACAGCTCGCTAGCGCTGCAGACAGAATTCGAGCAGAAGTCTTGCAATGTCCTCTCAAGTGATGCTAACTGACATGGTACTAACATTTCTGTAGCTCTACTAGAAATATTTTGCCACATCCATTCTAGACCTGCATAAAATCGTCTCAGGGGCTTTTCTGCTTAACATTTTATACAATAGCTCCATGTATTAGCTACACATATTATCCTTGAAACAATCCCCCAAAGTAACAGACTTTCAACTCCAATAAAAACATATTGTAATTTCACTCATTTTTAATTTGCATCTGTGTTTTTCATCATTCATTTAAAATCTGCTCAAAATGTGCAGACTGTTGAAGTCAAACTAACAGGGATAAAATCGCTTGAATTGCTTTCTTTTTTTTTCTTTTTTTTTTTTGACATATTTGCCCAGTGTGTCATTGCATGCTTATGTTATCTGATACTATCCTCAAATTAAATTTATCATAAATCTTTTCTACTTCCATTCCCCATCTCCCACCATCTTCCTTTAGTTATTTAATCATCCAAAGACATACCAGCTCTCATATAATTTCTCCATTCTGCACAGCATGCATACAGCATTTCCATTCTTAATGTAAAGCCATCCTTCTCTTGCATTCAAGTCTTTTAAGTCCCGCAGTCTAGTCACATTCACTACACGCCCTATTTTCTAAAATCTTGCCCTTCTAAAATACCAAGCCTTAGCTATAAACCTATTTTTGTCCATCTTGCATTTCAAGGCTAATTCAATCAGTTCATGATCACTTCCTCCTAGAATATTATTTTCTTGTCAGATCTTTTGCAAGATCCTCCACAAAAACTAACCCTAAAATAGCAGAACATGTTGTTGATTTATAAATTTCTGTACCAAAAAGTCAGTGTTCTGCAATGTCCAAGAATATCTGAACCTTGCCATTATTCATGGTATTTATGTCTATGTCTGGAAAATTTAAGTCTGCTCATATAATTTTCCTATCATTTATTTCTTCATCCATTTATAGAGATGATTACCCTCTTCCAAATCTCAGCCTGTCAGGCCATAACACCCCCTTCTCCTCAATTACTGTCCAAGTTGGGTCTCTTTTACCCTGCTTCCTTGCAGTAATTTTCATCCTAACAGATTATGCTTTATTCTGTTTTAAGATGAATAAACACAATCTGGCTGTTTTACTTTGCTGTAACTTTGAATTTCCTGACTTTCATGTAGTTGAGGTTGCATCCATGTAGACCTGTATATAAAATTTCCTTGTTTTCTTTTTAGATTGAAGAAACCCGAAGGAAAACCAGCACTAGCTTCCCCACCCTTTCACAAAGCGACTATAAATGTACCCATTCATATCAGTTTTACTTAACAGTGTTTAATTTGGTTTGGTTTTTATTTAGCAATATGCACCACATATGAATAGTTCTTTTCTACACCAATAATGCTTTTCCTAGTCACTAGTCATGTACTTGAATGAAATATGGGTGATACACTGATTATAGGTGATATGTAGGTAACATACAGGTACAAGTAGCTCATCAATGTACTTCATTTATACGGCAGAGAAGATGTACAGTGTTTAAAAGAAAAAAAAAAGGAAAAAAAAACCCAGGAACTAGGGAATGTAGAGATTTAGCTCCAATTCACATTGTTATCATGTAAACATCTTGGAAATTTAACTCACATTCTAGAGTTCTGTAAGGAGAGATTGCCCCAAAATCTTCTGCTATGTGTCACGGCCATTGATCTTAAGGTCTTCATATAGAAGGAGTTTATTATTGCACAGTTCCTCAAAAAAAATGCCACGCTCAACTCTTTCTAAACTTCCTAAGCTACAGTTGAGCCAAAAGCTTGCAGGTTACAGCTCTCTGGAGTAACACCCTGTTATCATGCACTCAAAACATAAACATAGCCATTAAAATGCCTAGACATTCTCTGAAAAGTTAAAACCAAGTCCTCAGTCCTCTTCTGAGTAATCATCTAAATGAGATTTGAACACGTGTAAATCAACTCATTTTATTTCCTGTCCAAAGAAGATGCTTAGCTTTGCAAAAAATACATATATATAGTGCTGTCATATATTTTTGCCAATCATTGCTGTGATTTAGATGAAAAGCAGCATTTGAGCTGTCACATTTGACCTTTTGACTTTGAGCTGCCAGAAGGAGGTGTTGGGGGCTGCAGGCTAAGGTTTAATTTATATTCTTCCCTTTTTTACAGGCAGAGATGGTCCGTGCTGCTTTCCAAGCCCAGAGATCTTTCCTGGTGTTAGCATCTCAGTGTCAAGAGCCTCAAGAGGTAAGAAAATAGATGCATAATACCAAAAGAACTGTATTAAAAAGCCTGTCTTCATGTATGTTTAAATATCAGTCCCTGCATTTTCTTTTATTTGTTGCTTTTTTATACAGAGAACTTAGAATTTTGCTTTTATTGATGTGCGTGCTGTGCTGAAATAATTGTAGAGCCACGGTTCAGAGATAAAAAGAACCTTTTCTATATCAAAGCCTGTAAGATCACTGAAGAAACCCATGGAACTCCTCCACTTTAGGCCTAGAAATGAGATCAATGGCTCTTTGCAACCTGGAGATAGCAGTTCTCTTGTTCCATAATAGAACAGTTTTTTGCTAATCCCAGAAGAGTGCTGTACTACTGTGAAGTAAGGATACAGGCTATTGAGAGAAAAAAATGTTTTTCATTCCTTAAACTGAAGTTTCTCCAATCTGAGAACATCCAGGTTAGACTGATTTTGGAAGGGAGGCACATCATTTTGTTAAAATGAGGAAGAAATATTCTTTTTATCAAGTTAGTTTATTTCCCTATTTTAGTGGCAACTACTTAAATCTTCTCCTCATAGCTAGAAAGCCCAGGGAAGCCATGGAGTTCTTACAACAGCTCAACTGCAGTTCCTGTAGAGCACAAGGACTTGGCTGGTGTCCCCGCATCTTTTTTGGGACCAACACTCATCCTGCCTCTCTGTGGGGCTGCCCTTGAACCCTCCTTCCTGGAACACCAAGAGAATGTTGACCTCCTTGCCCAACCCCTTGCATGGCCTTCAACTCTAACATGTTCTACTAGCGCCCTGCCAAGGAGCTCATTAAATTCCATATTCTCCAAGAGGATTTCCCTACTACTAGTATGAATTATTGAAGCTTTGCTGTCACCATTGATCTTAGAGACACAAATTAGAAGTTCTTTTTCTAATCTGTACTTCTTAATGGCAAGAGGATTCAAAAAAAACCAAGGCACAGATACTCCAAGTGAGATTGTACAGAGTACCAAGCAAGGAGGACTGGTTGTTTTCTTTCTCTGAGGAGTGAGAGTGGATTATGACTTAAAAAAAACAGGCAAAGCTCCCATTGCTTCAGGCCTCGAGCAGTTATGTACATTGCAATGTACAGTGACCCCCAAACTCTTAACGCTCAGAGCTTCCCCAGTAAACAGTTTCCAGTGGCCCATAATGTCATGTAATGTTTTGAGTTGTTGGTACACTCAAAGCTACAGCTCCCTTGTTGGTCTGCTGGAAGGGTGTGATATCACCACTGATTTCTCAATTTTTCAATTGAAAATGACTCAATTCTCACTTGAGAATTGAAGTGATTTCTCCCAACTTCTACCCTTACAACTTTCTGACCTGAATCAAGTCTGGGAAAATCATAAGGTTGGCCTAAAATAAAAAGATTTAGGTACATGTTATTTATCTATTAAAAGCCAGGAGAAAAATGGAAGAATACTTTGAACAACTTTTGTGCTGTATGCATTAGAAATTTTCATTAAAACAAACAAATAAGCAAAACAAGCAAACAAAAAGGGGAGAAATAAACCGAGCTTCTCAAGGCATCTAGCTGGGAAGCAACACAAGCATTAGGAAAAGCAACAAATAGGACAAATCTCAACATAAACTCACCCCAGTTGGCCATGTATATCTGTATGTCTTTACTGCATGTTATCTTGCTCAAGACATCAAAGTATACATTTATCATTTAGCTATCTTTTAGCATGGAGGAAATGCCATATGATATGTGTGTACATATCATTCCCAAGTTAAAATGTCAGGAATATTAAGTAAGATTAAGTAAGGTTCCTTTCTTCAGTGAGAACAAGCGTGCTCCAAATGCTTTTGATTTTTTTTTTTCATGTAGTGTTAGGTAAATATTCTGGATAGATATAAAAAAAAAAGTTGCCATTTTTTTCTCTTTTTTTACACACAGTTTTTTTCATAGATGTTCTTTCAGCTGTGCTGTAGACAGCCCTGTAACTGGCTGAAAGCTGCATATGCTGTGCAGCTTGAATAGCTTTTTCCACTGCAGAGAGAGTTCCAAGCACCAGGCCTTTTATATTTCCATGTCAATGGGGGAAAAATCCTATTAGTAAAGCCATATTGGCTAAGAATTTTGAGAAAAGGTTAGCATGACAGAGCCCAGGAGAGGGAAGGAAGCAGGAGTCCTTCCGCTCCAGAACTGTATCAATGTGATGTAGCCTGGGCTCTGCTTGTAGTTATAGCCTAGAGCCACCAAGTCAGTGTGGAATACAAACAGGAAAGCTAATCATTAGTGTATCAGAATGCACTGAGTAGAGAAAAGCAAATGAAGATGACAGCATATCTATAAATGCAAGAGAAAAGACAGTAATTCTGTCATTCAGCTGTCTAGACTGTTTGCTTTATAATGTAAAGCTGTGAATGAGCCAGCGAGTTGAGCTTATGGCGTATCAGCTTTGCAGACATTCAGAGACAGCGGTGTGGAGACTGAGGGGATTTACTGAGTTCCTGGCATGTTGGGATGTCAAACATGGTGCCTTTAAAAAAAAAAAAAAAAAAAAGAGGGAGGGGAAAATGCCCTGGAAAAATAAACTAGCTCAGCTCTTGCAGCTTAAAAACTAATGAACAAGGAATTCAAAGGAAAAGAAAGCTCCTATATTTACAGCAATCTATGGAGCTATTTTTTTCTTTTTGGTCAGCAAAAGAGAGAAAAGAGAAATACATATTGTATGAAAGCAATATTTTTGCCTTCTAAGAAAGCGTTGAATGCCCAAGTATTCACTTAGCTCTTTAAATCCTACTCTGAATCACCAGCAAACACCCTTCAAACAGTTAAGTTCCTTTGCTCAGCTTTGCTTTCTGTGAACAGTGTTGATATTTTTTCATTTTGGAATCTTTTGTGCACAGCCTTTATTATCTGTATATGAGAAAATAGTAGGAGAGGAGAAGGTAATTCCAGCTGGCATACCGATCTAGCATCAACTGCAATAAATTACTTAGCGGAGAGCATGTTCTGTTACTTTTTATGGTCATGTTCTATATTTGTATGTGCAGTGGAAGAGATCACATGACAAAACCATCGTTTGATGTTACTGTTTGTGTGTGTCCCGGCTAGTGGCTGCTGGATTCAGACTCCTTCTGCAAAAAGGCATTCTTGAGTTCATCCACTTAGTAGATTTTTCTTCTGACGCCAGACTTTAAACGTTAAAACTAAAAATTGCCTGTTCTAAATTGTTTGTTATGTAGGAGATAATAAAGGGTAAATAGAGGGGGAAAAGGGTAGACAGAGGGAGACAGTGGTGATGTGTTCTGTAAGAAGCTGTTTAAAAAAAGTATTTTGAGAATTTACATTGCTTAAGAAATTTGTAAGATGTGTCTTAACATAAATCTTCACAAAACATTATGAAATACTTTGGATCTAAATTTCCTATTCCACATAGTCTAAGCCAAATACAGTTCTGAATAAAAAACTATTATTTTGTGGTATAATAATTTAAAACATTATTACTCTTCATGAATAACTTTACCCGCTTAATTATTTTGAAATGAGTGATCTTAGATACTGACATGGTGCTCATAATCAGCGCTCGAAGTCAACTGCATTAAATCCTTTGTGAATGGTAATTTATATAGCACCTTCTCTTCCGGAGCTGCCTCATTTCCCTTTTAAGAGATCAGATGCTTTTCAGGAGTTGCTTTGAGGGGATGAATGAGGCATTGTCACATACTGGGAGCTAGTTAATGAGATAAGTTTTCCTACAAACATATGTGGGATAAGCTTCAGATCTGTGTCGAACTCAGATAGGGCTAGAGTGAGAAAGGTGCTGCTCTGTTTAACAGGAGCTACTCACATTGGTTTTACTCCTCAGGCTTGTTATATGAAGCAGGGTGAGGTTTTATTAATAGAGTCATGGGGCACATGTTGACATTGTCTGTTCACTGGCAATTGTATTTCAGCATATTTGAGGTAAGCAAGTCTACAAATAAAAAGACAAATGTCCTTACAAGTAGGCAAACCTATGAATGGGAGCAGCTGTTGGTAAGAAATATCACACACAGATTTAAGACAGATGAAGTTCAGACTATAAATGATAATATAATTTATAACGGAGAGAAAAGAAAAAAAAAAAAAGGAAAAACCTGCTGACTTCATGCTACTGCTAGAGCTTATGGATTTAATTATTAACACTGCGCAGGCAAAGATGTCAGTTAAATACCTACCTTAAATATCCACATCCTATACACAGTTGAAAACAGAGAGGTGAAAGAGATAGAGCTGTAAGCGGGCGGGGGGTGTCTCCTTTTCCTTTTTTCCTAAAAAAAAATGAAAAATACTGGAACCCAGGAAACTGTATTTGCAGCTACATTGAGTTATAAGAACATATCCTGAGGTTTTTCATTTCTCTATAGCCAAACAGAAATTCTGTTGTAGCCATAGGATAGTTGTGACAATTTTTTGAACAGAGGAGTCTTTCTCAGAATTTGTATGTAGAAATTAAAAATGGGGATTTACAGTTCCCTACTCTTTGTCAATGTAGGACTGTTCTTCTTTCCTTCCTCTCTACTATTTTTAAATGACTCCAATAACAGGACTCCTAGGACTTTTTCTACATCTTAGTAGGATTTGTTTCCTAATTATACTACTACTTCTTGCTTATACTGTTTTCCCAACTTTTACATCTAGTACTTCATTAAGCAAAAGCATTTAAGCTAAGTTTTGCTGCTGTTGCTTGACTGCTGCAAACCTGCACCTTTGTATCTAGGAATAGCTTAGGCAAGAATTTGGTGCTGTCCTTTTATGGTGCTAACATGGACAGGGCTTGAGAGTCCAGAGCCCCAAGGAAACCCCCTACCTGCTCCTGCTCCCTGCAGCCTTGCTACACTGTTGACACGTCCCTGTTATCAGCAAGCCTCCACTGGCATGCCACAGGCAGTCGCAGCCACAGCGACCAGCCTGCTCACAGGCTCCAGTTGCTAGTCTGCCACCTTGCCGTGTTCACAGGCTCATTTGGGGGGATATTGCTTCCAGCTTCTGCTTACT